TTGAAGCAGGAAAATCTTCAGTTCTGGCGCACTTTGGCCGAAGATTTTTCATCCACATTTCCCGCAGTGTGTGCTGCTATTTCTTGATGCTCTTCTCTCAGCTGTTTGCAGAAAACCTCTGCTAGCGACGCTGTTGCTAACTACAAATGAATTTTTGGAGTTTTTAATAGGAACAAAAATCTTTTGCACACGTATGAAAAACATACAAAAACTTCATATGAGCTGCACAAAATTGGAGTAGTTTCACAAGAAAAACGTTTCGATACGCTTTAATATTGATATCGCTTGGCAGAGCAGTAGAAAACAGAGAAATAAGGGAATTTTTCTATGAATATTAGCAATTATCTAGAATATCAGGAGCATCAGTGTAGTCGGTGTGGATATTTCATACTAGTGTTATTAGTGAAATGCGATTTGATAGCACTTGTTTTATCCTAATACTATGATGTTGGATCTAAGCACCGATTGTCACAAACTAGTTTTTGTTTCAGCTCTTAACCGTAAGCACAGATTCTTCCATACGTTTTGGTAAGGAGCGGTAATCATCTGTTTAGCCACCTGTCCGTCATATATTGAAAGAGTATACAATAAAATCCTCATGACCAGATCAGGAAAATTTAAAAAGCGGAGAAAGGAATTAAAGTAGAAGACAGAGTGTTAGATTAAGAACACGAAGCGAGATACTTCAAGTAGGGTTGAATTTCTCATCCTGAAACTAAAGGTCTTAAACCTGATCCTGGCACAATTTTTAATGGCAAAAACAGTAGCGCTAAAGCACTGCAGGATGCCAGTATCATTACTGTCTGCAGTTTACCTAACCTAGGCAAGCTTTCATCGGAGCTGCCAGAGATCCTCGGTTCTTTGGCTGAAGGCAAAACTATTAGGACTAATAGTAAGCCACGAAAATAAACTGATTTTTACGCACTTTTTTGTAAAGCGCTATGGCGCCTAAACTGCTACGCACCAGGCTTACCGATGCAATCATGCGCTTTTGCGCTAAGCTCGCAAGTCACTAAGAGCAGGAACGGTCTTTACACTGTATTTTAACACTGAGAATCATATTGGCTGTGTTTTGGCCCCTTTCCGCATGCAGGGAGAAAGGGAGTCGGCCGGGATAAAGCTGTTGCATTACGGAAACAAACAGACCCCCGACGTGCTTTCAACATGAAGCCCGGTCGTTTTTCCGGTGAATGCTCGCTCACTAAAAAAAATGCAGATTTGAAGGAGGTCTGCAAAACAAATCTGCAAAAAGCGCTCGCTTTTGAGTTTGCGATAAAATCGAGCATTTGTCATGACTGCGTACATGGAATTTCACCTCCAAGCCGAAGTAAGACCGTATGTGGATATAGAATGTCCTCGCAAAGTTTCAGATCCGTAGCTTGCGTGGTAAGCCAAATAGCCAATTCGCTACAAATACCTTTGAAGCGCCCTAAGTCATGGCGCAAGTGAAATTGGGTCTCAGTTTAGGTCTACGATTCGCCATATGAATAATAAATATTCTGATAAAATTTGTTTCCGGCTAGATTTTGAGTTAGCGCAGTGCTTACACACAGACAAACACGGACTGCCTCTCGACAAAATGCATTTTTGCTCGTTCTAGCAACGGTGTAGCGCTGCGCAGCAAAAGCGCATGAAAATGCATATTGTCTAGAAGTCATCCGTGTGTGTATGTTCGAAAGTGAGTGGACTTTTTCACCCACTTTTAACGTAGCAGCCAGGAAAGCTGGAAGATTGAAATTTTGGAGTCATATTCAAGCCCCATGTGTGATCCTGCTTCAAAATCTTCGCTCGTGCGCGCTTATATCTCGCGTACGGAACCTCAAAAAAAATATGCAAATTTCATTGGCTGAAAACGGCTTCGTGATTCAGACAAGCAGAAAGCTAAAACTCTGCAAGAATATTTTCTGTACATGTTTGTTTCAAATTCAGGGATATTCTCTGAGCGAAACGTTTCAAATTCAGCTGTCGCACACAGTTGTACCGTGCGCACAGTTATATCAGATTTCGCAGCTAGTACTGTGTTAACTCGAAAAACTAGCCGGAAAACAGAAGCTGAAATTTTGTCAAAATATTTTTTATTTGTGTGGAAAATAGTATGCCTAAATAAAGCTCCGACTTTAATTTGCGTTAGGACATGGGGAACTTCAGTGGTATTTATAGCGAGGTGGCCATTTCGACAAACCAGACACAAGGTGCGAATCTGAAACCTTAGAAGGATATTTCGTATTCACGTGTGGCTTTAAGTCAGCTTACAATGAAACTCATAAATGACAAGTACTCAATTTTATTGCAAACTCAAAAGTAAGTGCTTTTGCAGATTTCGTAATCCCCTTCGGACTTCCTTCAAATATGTATTTTTTGAGTGAACGAGCATCCACCGAAAAAACGACCGGGCTTGTTGCAAAAAACTGATAATCCCACAGCTGAGGCCCTTGCGGCCCAGTAATACAACACCTTCATCCCAGCCGACTTCATTTTTTCTTGTATGCGGCAAAAGGCCAAAACACGGCCAATATGAATCCAAGCAGTGCTGGAACCATTTCTGCCGCTAGCGATCGGCAATTTTAGCGCAAAAACACATGATCTTGTCGACAAGCCTCGTGCGTTGCAGTCTGGGTTTGTAGTCGTGTGGTTCCAAATCGACGGAATTAGCGACTTCGCGCGTGCACATCTGCAGTGATTTCAGGTTGAGGATGCGATGTAATTTTGGTGCTGCCCTGCACCCTGCGCCAAAATGTTGCCAACGTATTGTTTTTTTGTTGGGCTGTGGGACTAACTGTTAACGAGAGATTGTTACCAAACGTTTCGTTTGGTGCGTTACTTGGAATTAGCCGATGAAAACAGTGCGGTAGACTGCTCAATACAGCCTCTTTCACGTCTTCTTGCATGATAAACAGCGCGGCAAGAATTGCTAGCGGATTGAAATTGCAGCTGATCCCAGCATATGCTACCAGTATGTCGTGCACTGTCGTATTAATTGTGCCACCGATCAAGAAACGCATACACAATGGAGTTACAAAGAAGATCAGTGTTATCAGACATGAAACATTCATTGTTCGAGTAAGTTTACGTTGGCGACGCTCGAATGCATCGGCCGCTTCCGATCCCTAAATTGACGAGTCAGAAAAACAATGCCAAGAAAAGCATGCATGAAAAATGGCGGATCGCATAAATTAGAGCAAGCAGTAGAAAAGTTTGAAAAGGCAAATCGCACAATATCGTTCTGGACTCTTTTCGCCTTATTAATTTGGGTTTTCTTGCCAGTAATAAACGCACAAAACATTGGTACATGCATGGCTATTCAGTGCTTGATGATAGGCCTGAAGGTAAGGAGATCATAGCGCCTGGGAAGACCTCATCGTGTGGTAACACTTGAAGGCAAAATAGTGATACTCATTAAATACTAATGACAACGCAAAACGGACAATACCGTATCAAATGATTTTGTCAGGAACTGACGGATATTTGTGAAACTCGGGTCGGCTCGGCTGGTACTCTAGCATTTCTGCCAACACAGTTTCGCGGCGAGGCTCGCTAATTTCGCTCGGCACTTTGCTAGGAGTGCTGGGTGGCGCAACCCAGTGCACGACAAGTGGAAAGCGTGGTTGGACGGAGTGAGGTGCTAAGTAGGGGGTTGGCATGATTGCGGGATGGTGGTGATGGGTGTCTAGATTTCGCTCTGCAGGCAGGGTTTGGGGACAGGATAGAGGAAGGGAGCAAGCTTGCTTATGAAGCTATTGATAAAGCTGATGCTTAGGTGAAACTGAGATCTCTCAGCTTCACCTAAGCAACAGCAATTTGACCTTTGAGCTTTACCTTAGCATCAGCTTCAAAAAAGGAGAAATCCTTCACTGATAATGGGATTTTCGGTTGCTGAAAGCCTGACTACAGTAAGGGACTTCCGTATCTATGAATCTGATATCTAGGAAATTCTGAGAGCTTTTAGGTTTACCTTTACAGCTTCACCTTATTCGCTTCTAGCTTTACTTAAAAATCAGACTTTTAGATGGGGAAATCTCCTATTGATGGCAGTTTTCGTTTGCTTTTCTTGCTTTTATTTTCTTTCGTGCTTTTACTTTTTCTTGCTTTTCTCCTTTCCACCTACCACTCATCCCCTCTTTCTTACGCGGCCTAGGCAACTGCCAGGGGATCTATGCCACGTGCCCACTCAATCCACCTACCCAATCCTCTCTCCTTGTCTCCAATCCCCGTGTGCGAAATCCATACAGCAGCATCCCTTCGCACGCACCTCAACCCCCACACGCAAAAAATATGCTCATGCATTGCCCAAAACCCTCCTGTTTCCCCCGCAATGTACCTCCCTCTCGAGCCGTTACGATACAGAGTGTATCCACGGCAAATACCGGTTACACGGTTCCTCCTCTTTTCTGCTCACCACCCCCGCCCCCCTTCCCGCACATGGCCGCGCCACTTAACTATTTAATCCATCCTACAAACCCCTTTCCCCACCTTCACCCTTCGCGCCCGGGATCCGCACACAAAGCGACTCTCCACTACTACATCGTCTGCTACATCCAGCGTTCTATGCCGTAGCGGGGTAAGCACGCCCGGAAAACTCATTCGCAGATCGTGTATGGCGCCAGCCGAGCCGGGTTTTAGTAATTAATCAAGTGACCGCTGAGTCAGAGTCTCTATCGGACTGACCACCCGGCGGTGCAGACTGGTCAAAGTAATAGAAACGTTGGTAGCTGCGTAGCTGGAGAATCAAATTATAAAAGCGCAGTTGATCAAATTATCTTACTAGGAATATCTGCTGCCGCAGCACTTGTTGATTGGTTGTATTTCAGTAATACCTAAGCATGCCAGCAGTTCCATCATGTTTTTGATTACTTTGCCTTTCTATTTCAATATTTACATGCATATTTCTTACGAATTTAACAAACCATTTGAATTTTTCGAGCACGACGAACACTTTTCCGAGTCATTCCGTATACAACAATGTATAGCAGGACGCTGCCAATCGATGCAGTGATGGAGATGAGCAGGAACAATCGTCTGAAGAACGGCATTTGACTGTCGGGCGTCCTAGAAACGAATGAATTCGAAAAACGTTATGCATGTCGAGTTCCGCCCTTTACGAGCTGACACAGCAGAGGTTCCGGAATTTCAGTCTAAAGAATTAAAAATGGGATTGCGCTTAAAGATAGCCTACAATTTGATAACCCTGGTTGGAACGCACTAGGCGAGCCGGAGCAATCATGCGTTTTTGCACCAAACTTAAAATAACTAGGTTAACTGCATGAACGGTTGTTTTTTCACACCCACTTTGTGCGCTCATTATCATAAATTATCGTAAATTTTGCATAAAGGGAAATGAACAATTCCCATTTAGCGGTCATTTTTTATGCGTTTTTGCTACAGCCAACAAAAACGCATATTGTCGAGAGGCTGTCTGCGTGTTTCTGTGCGTGCATGTGTATTCGGAAAGCGAGTGCATTTTGTCACTCACTTTCATCTCAGCAACCAGGAAAGGTGGGAGGCTGAAACTTTGGATATGTGTTGCACCCCGTGTGTCATCTTCCCGTTTTGAGATCGTTCTCCATACGCGCCTAGACCCCGCGCACGGGACCCCCAAAGAAATATGTTGGCGGGAAACGATTTCGCGAACCAGGCAACGTAGAAAGCTGAAACTTTTGCAGGGCTATTCTCTATGCACTTGCGAGCTAAAGATTTTAAACTCAGCTGTTGAGCACCCCAACCACAGCCTCAAGCAGCTCTTCAACCCAAAAATCGTTAGCAACTCGGACCTAAACCGCAGTCGTATATGTAAATGAACATGGATTATTTGACAAACAACCGTTCGAGCAATACTTTCACTTTTCAATGAACTGGAAATCTGCATTTTTCAAAAAAATCGTTCGCTTCTCGGACCTGAGCCGCAATCGCATACGTAAATGAACATGGATTTTTTGACAAGCGACCGCCCGAGCAATACCACCACTTTTTAGTGAACTGGAAATTTGCGTTTTTTCAAAAAATTTGCATTTGTCATTTTTTCACGAAGCAAGCATTTGCCGAAAAAACGATCGGACTTCATGCAAAAAACCGGTTATTCGTGCACCTGGATGTCTGTGCGGCTCAATAATGCACCCCACCTTCATCCCAACCGAAGCCCTTCCTCCTACATACCGAAAAGATTCAAAGCACGGCCAATATGACCCAAGTGCTAGGCTACAGCGTAGGGATCATTCTTGCTAATAGCGATCTGCGAGTTTAGTGCAAGAACGCATGAT